AATATTTTAAATAATTAAAAAAGTAGATTAGAGACATATTTATAGTAATTATGCAGGCAAATTTGTCTGCAAATCTCCACCAATTAAGGGATAAGATTATCTCAACTTCTAGTAATATACAAAAATAACAAACGAGTATAGATGCTTTTATATTCAAGATAGAAAGATTTTACTTCTTGTAGACAATGCACCATCTCATAGTTCATCTGAATCGCCTAATAATACAAAAAAAAAAATAGGATAATTAATATAGATAAGGATGATGGTTGTTAATTAGATTCTGAAAATAAAGTTTCAGTAAATGATTACTCTGGTTCATAAATTGATGATAAACAGCAAAATAATAATAAAAGTAAGTTAAAATAAATGCTAATAACAAAAAAAAAAAATAAAGCATCTTTGTAAACCAAAAAACTATTATAATATAAGTTTAAAGGAAGCCACACGAAAGCAGAAGCAGAAAACTATACAGAAGTGGAAGTAGAAGACCACACAGAAGTGGAAGTGGAAGACTATGCAGAAGTGGAAGTAGAAGACCATATGGAAGTAGAAGCGGAAGACCACGTGGAAGATTATGTGGAAGACTATGAATTTCTCGTGCTGAATCTTCATGTTAACAAAATAAGAAAAAGTCTTCTTCTAAAATATTAAAACTTTCAAATATTACCTTGCATTACCTTTACTACATACAACTACTCACATTCAGCCCATAGATGCTAGTATAATCAAATCATTTAAATCAAAATACAAGCATCTATACTGTAAATATGTTCTCCAACAATTCGAATCTGGTATCAATATAAAAGAGTTTGTAAAATATTATTGCACTGAAGCTGAAATTAGTTGAAGTAAAATTTGCATCCCCTTTGAAAATATAAATTCCCTAAAACCTACTTACATTGTTTTGTACAAACATAATTCTTAATCCTAATTTAACCTTAATAATAAACCAAAAAATATGAGTATCGTCAAATAAAACTGTCATCGGGAAGTCTGATGACAGGTTTTTCTTTAACAATACTTATATATTTAAAAATTTGAATTCAACCATCCCTAATTCTCAGCTTTAACACATCTATTGGTTTCACTATTTTACTAATTTAGTTTTTTTCTTACAGAAAAAACTAACTGTTAAAAAGGCAATTGATTTCATTGCAAATCTATGAGACGAGGTAAGTGATACAATCATCCAAAATTGTTGGCTCAAGATAGGAATTCTCCCAAATGCAAACAAATCGGAAGTGGATACTATAGATCAGTATGTTGAAAGTAATACTTTATTAGATAATGATGATAAAATCAGTGAAATCATTACTAAGTTACTTAACAAGAGCCTGTATACACCTGAGACGGCTTAGGCTATAGCAACATATTTATAAGTAGTTGACAAACCCATTGCTACAGAAGAAATACTTAATGATGAAGAAATCATTGCTACAATTCAAGCTGAGAAAAATGAGAAAGGATCAACTGAACAAAAAATTGAAGATGAGGATGAGTTGCCTGAACCCCTATAACAGCTGCTGAAGTATATAATACAATACAAACTGTTATTCGTTATGAAGAACAAGAAAATTCAGAGTCAAATATTATACTAGAAGAATTAGAATTTTTAAAAAAATTGCTCAAAGAATATAAACGTATATATGAAAAGTCAAAAAAGCAATCAAAAATTACTAGTTTTTTGATTTCCAAATTTCAAACCTCTATGATTTATTTACCCATGACCTCCATAATTCTTATGATTAATATCCCTCAAATTTATATTCTCAAGACTATTCTCAAGATTCATATCTTCAAGACTTATATCTTCAAGAATCATATTCTTAGGATTTATACTCTCAAGGTTCACACTCTTAGAATTCTTTTATGAAATTCATGTACACAAGATCAGTACTTAGATAATTTGTCTTTTTCTTATTTTCAATATTCATATTTCTAGCTACAAAAAAAAAAAAAAAATAATAATATAAATAAATCTTTTGTATTAACAATTTAAGCCATACTGTACAATTGTGATTTATACTATTTAATAAAGTTGTAACTTGAAATAAAATAAGTTAATTAAAATAAAATGAAGCCTTAAAGTAAAAAGTTAATATTATATAACCTAGCTTTTGGAATCTAAAAGAATGATTAAGCCCTGGTTAGAATTTAGAATAGTTTTAAGCAGCATATTTAGTATCACTTCATCCTAGAACTCATGTTCTATTTTCTACACTGAAGGTTCCTTTGATCTCTTGACTAGCTATAACAGATCTACCACACATAAAAGAATATAGTATGCAAATTAAAAGAGTTAAAACTATTTTATAAATACCGCTGTATCACAGTATCAACCCCAAACCATCAAGTCTGTTGCTAAACCAGTAGAAGATTTGTATAACCACCAATTAGGTTACTTAGTTTTGAAAAAGTGTGTTAAATTTAGTCAAGTGGTATAATCTCAAATCAGAACTTAGACCTTATATAACTCTAGTATTGGGCGTAATGAAAGTGTTTTATCAAGCATTAAATTTGGTAAAGGAGTTTTATGATTTATTAAAAACGACTTGGTATGATTTATTGTAGGAAAATATAAGATTTATGAGAAGTAGTTGCATGATTTATCGAGGGCAATTGTATGATTAATAAAAAGTAATTTGTATGATCAAATGATTAATAAAGCAAAGGTGGAAGCTATTTTCTTCCTAGGGCCAAAAGGGCCTTTATTTATAATGATTAATTTAGTTATTTATATTTGAAGAATCTTTTAGATTCTTATTATTATTATAATTAATCTTATAACTATTATCATTAATATTATTATAAAAGTTCTAATTATATAGATCCTTTTAATAACCCGGATCAATATTATCCAAATTATCAAAGAAATTAAAGAAATCAGGCTGATCATGGCGGGAATTCCAAATTTGAAAATTTCTGAAATTACAAGAGCATGTGCCTGCTTCAGGTCACATTTTCGGGCTCACAATGGCATAATGATAGTCATAAATAAGTAATTGTTATTGAATATTAAGCCACCTCTTTATAGTTACTAAATTTTTAATTTGTTATAATTGTGACTATATAAAAGTTTTTTTATATAGTCATATCTTTTTATAGTCATCTAAGTTCCGTTTCCTGGACCCATGACTATAACAAGGTTAGACTGTAATAGTATAGTTAAAATATATAGTTCAGTAACTATACAAAATGGATTAATAATTTATGCAACAAATAATTATTATGGAAAACCTTGCTATAGTAATATAGCTATTGCTATGAATTTTGAAAAATTATCTGAATATATATCAGATCAAGGAATTTGTTATAAACAGGTATACTTGTTAGCAAAAATTGAATTAGAAGCTAAAATATTTAATTTAGCTTTAATTCAATAGTATGATTTTAAATCTAAGAAAAATCCATTTTATTATAGATATCCTAGGCTTCAATTGACTGAATTATATAATATAATTGATATTGAAGCAATTAAAGATAATGTTCATATAATTCCAA